GGGGGGCGTCGCGGGGGGTGGGGGTAGCGCCTCGGCAGTTCCGCTGTAATGGCGCCGGACAGTTGAGGCCGGCGGACGGGCACAGTCTGGGCACGGCACTGGGTCTGAGGCTCCCGAGGTCCTGCCGCCGTTTTAGGATTAAAGGCGGAGTGTTCTCAGCAGCCCCTAGTGTAGCTGTTTGGGAGGAGAGGAGAGGAGATGATAGTCAGCTAAAAAAGTGTTAATGCTCTATTTTGATGTTGGCTGCAAATGGTATTTAAAGGGTTGCTAATTACTTAAGAGCTTACTGCTTCATTTGTGATTCTCGAGAGTGTCGCTGAAAGCGAAACAGGGATTCCAAATCATCACCTTAGTTAAAATTAAGTGTTAGCGTATCTGCTCCAAAATGGTGGAGGTCCCCTAAACCAAATCTAGACTATGCTGGGATTACTGAGCATCAGCAGGGTTGCCGTTTTGTCGTCTTCTTGCTATATTTGGCAGTATAGAAGCTGCCTGTTATTTGAGGAAGTGTCTTGATACGAGACCTAATTAAAAAGTGCCTTCAAATCTGTTGTACTGGTGAAAATGCAGAAGAATTAGATGTGCATAAGAATTAAATCTGGAGCAATTTGTGCACGGGTAGATTTTGGGTTTATGGAGGAAGCAGGTTTTGATATATTCTTGTTTTCTGTGATAAAATACCTATAATTTAAGGTTGCAGGGAGGTACAGTGTTCCATATCAGATTACATCTGGTCTGACAATCCCATACTTCATTTTTGGACAGCCTAGTTCAATATGGTATCAGAGATACTGTGAGTGGAGAAAGCTGTGTGCGACATACTGTGTGGCCTTATCTTTAGGGTATGTTTCCAGAGCTCAAAATTTCAGTATGATTAGAACTGACCTAGATCCATTTTCAAATAAATGGTGGCAGGTTATTTTTTTTTATTATTATTATTCCATTGTTAACTTCTGGTATGTGATTAAGTTCCTTTGCTAGCTGGAAAGTGCCTTGGGGATCCTGATCTTAAATGTCAATCCTTGTTATCATTCTTCTAATCATTTTTTCCAAAAAAGATGATTGCTGTTTGGTCCAGTTTCTGTGTTTGGAGGTTTTTAGTGTATCTTCAACTGCCTGATTTTGCAGCCTGAAGAGCAGGGACAGGTAGAACAGAAGCTCTACAGAGTCTGGTAAGGTAGGGGCATCTGGAGCATAGTTATAAGCAGACAGATTATATATGTGCCTATATGTGCTTCATTCTTGAGTTTCACATTTGAGAAAGCTGAGTAGTCAGCATTGGACTGTGTTCCATGGAAGGCTTAGGCTGATGTTACAGACTGTAGAAAACTCAGAAAAAAATGAACTTATCCTGCATCTCAGGTAAAGTACTAGAGCCAAATAATCTTTGGCCTGAAAGTTTAACCTTCATTTCAGATAGTAATTTTGCTCTCTGCTGCTGGTCTAGTGTTCTTCTACCTGCTCTCTTTTGCTGTGCAGAAGTGTCATTCAAGACCAGCAACCAAAATCATTCAACCTGGTTCTTCAGCTTATCTTTTTGCAGAAGACTTTTGCAGATGCTGTGCACAACACTGCCTGGGAGAAGGAGGGAATGCCTTAGGTTAGGGGTGCAGGGTAGCTGCTGGATGAACTGGGACTAAACAGTGCTCTGAGTTTGAGCATTTCTTTATGGGCAAAAAATGTCTTCAAGCACCATAGGAGACCTATTTGATTGCTGCTGACCTGTGTACAACATTTGTGCCTCCTGAGCATTATAGAACTCTGGAACTATTTATAGCCTGGAATGTGTCATCTGCCCATGAGTCATCAAGCCCCAGTCAAGCTGTAATGTTGCTGGAGAGCTGTTTCACTTCAGTTCTTTAACAAATAGTGGTCCTTCTCTATACTGCAGGACTCTGGGGACAAGATCCCCTTGGATGCTAGTGAGGAGGAGGCTTAGGTGTTCTCTTTGCACTTACAAAAGGTAGTACATAATGTCCTGCCACTACCTTCCAAGGCTGTGTTGGCCTTCAGGAAGCAGCAGTCAAAATACCCACCACCATAAAAACAGTGGTGTTCAGAATATGCAGTACCCCTGCTTCCATAGGATGCCTCTTGTCTGCTTTTTGACATAGCAGATCCACTTGAACAGAATGAGTACGAAGCCATGGATTATGCCAAAAGTTAGTGTTAATTTTCGTCTGGACCTGGTTGTAAACGGCTTCTGCAACACCTGAAATAACTGGAGAGAGATTAAAATGGGCACAACAAATTACAGGAACATGGAGTATGAAAAATAATTTGTGGTTGTGTGTGTTGAAGAATACAAGTGATTACTCCTAGAATAGGCTGGAATATTTTGAGCCCAGAAGCAGCAGGGCAAGAAATACTAAGTAAAGAACCCCCTGTCAGATGAGCAGGAGAGCATACTTGAACTGCTCTAAGAAAGTGGATATAATTAAAAGGTTACCAGTGTGCAGAAAAGAGTATTTTAGCTGAGGTGGCTATGGCTGCTGCTGCCAGGAGGACTGAGTATTTGGGAAGTTACATCTGCTCTGGGCAGCAGTTGTGTGCTGTTCTTGATATTATGCCCTCAGGAATGCTGTCTGATCAAAAACAAAGCCTGAAGTATAATCAGTCTAGGGGCTGATTAGTCCCATGGAAGGCCTGCCTGTCTCTTGAAGAGTTGCCTTCCCCATTGCAAGCAGTGGGGTGTATATACTCCATACTTAGGTTTTGTTAAGTTACACTTAAGTGCTGGCCAGGGCCATGTCCAAGTGCTGCATTAACCTTATGTTGATATTGAGTAGTTATATTTGTATGTACCAAGTGGCTGTTGTAGTAGCCACATTCAACTTGGAGACAACTTCAGTGCATAGGTTCAGTATTGCAAACTGGCATGGTATTCTGTAGTCCTTCCTATAAGAGGAAAAGGAACACGTATAACGTCAGGTCTTGCATAAAGTTATATAATATATCTCATAGGTGGAAATCAGCGTGAACTTGCCCGCCAAAAGAACCTGAAGAAGACCCAGGAGATTCACAAAGGGAAAAGGAAAGAGGATAGCTTGTCTGCCTCTCAGAGGAAACAGAGGTAAGATTTAGTACTGTAGGAAGGAGCCCATTTTTTTTTTTCTTTTTTTTAAAGAGAAGCTGTGCTGGCAAAGTAGTCATACCAGATGTAGTGATCAGCCTTTGAGTTAGAGGTCCTTAAAGCCTCAGAGTTCTGGGGCAAAGCAGGCAAGACTTAATTCAGACCATGACTGTGCTACTTGCCCAGACTACTTGTGAATGTGTGAGATGCTTTCCAGAATGAATAGAAGTAACTTCAAACTACTCTGGCACCCCTAAAACAAGCAGAATGCAGTTGTGGGCAAATGAAAGTAGCAGGTTTTCATGAGCAGAAGTAGTAGCAATTTGGCAGCTATAACATCTAAGAGTTTGAATCTAAATCAAATGACTTTGAAATCAAACTGGTAAGGGCTTGCTCAGTAGCTACTCAAATAGGCTGAAGTCCTTAAAATAAGCAAAGTGGGAAGAAAAAAAATGGTTCAGAGAAATCTAGTCTCAGTCAAAATGAGATTTAAATACTTTAGCTCATGGTCCATTAATGTGCTAAAGTATAAATACTAGATGCAGGCTTGTATCTGATATAAAGCAGCTTCATTTTGTGAGCCCTGGGGTGGAGGGAATTTATTTTGAGCAATTTTTGCCTAATAAAGGAGATTGTCAGTACTTGGAAGTTCTTCTATCTGTTATATCCTTTACTTTTGAAACTTAAACATAGATTTGTTAATGAAACAATTTACTTACAACATAGGCTTACTTAACAGCAAACTGTTTTATGCTAATACCTAACCACTGATCTTTTTTCTTGAAACTGGCATCACTCAATGGCTGTTGGAAAGCAAGCCAAGAGATGTTCTGCAAGAAAAATGGTGAGCCAATATCTGAAATCTAACTTTGCTTCTTTACAGAGACTCTGAAATCATGCAGCAGAAACAAAAAGCAGCTAATGAAAGGAAGTCTCTGCAGGCAGGAGCAGAATGAACTGTCTCTATGGAGAAGACCTAAGGAGAGGGCGTCAATGAAGCTAAAGGGCCAAGGAGATCAGACATTTATAAAAATGGCCAGCCATTAAATTGTTATGTTTCTCATACTTGCAGACTTGTTCAATTTGCGTTTCTTTAGAGTATTTTCAGGCTAGTGTAGGCTTAGTTATCTGAAGTTATTTCAGCACTGACTGTATTCTTCTGCATGCATATAAGTAATGGTACCAGACAATAGCTTAACTTCAGCTTTTTGTTGCAATTGTTGGTTTCACTTAATGGTCCCAGTAATAATGAATTTCTGAAACTGCAGTTAGACCAGGTTTTCTTTTTTGATTTCTTACAACTTCAGAATGGAACATACTTGTAAAATGTGGTTAAATTGAAAAGGTCTGAACTGTAAATTACATCTTAAATTATGTTTACAATAATGTTGCATGGAATATTGTTTAATTAAAATGGTTATGGTTGATACATTAGTTCCTTAAGAATTAAGAACAGTGAATTATGGAGAAATATAACCTGGCAGTATGAAGCCTGTACTATAGAAGATGCTTATGTAGTTATAGTATTCATTGGTGTACTTCAGCAGACCATGAAGCTATTACTATACTAAGAAGCCACAGGTTTTGAAGTTGTTAACTGCAGATGTTAACAGATTGCAAAACTGCTGTCACTAAAAGGGGTTGAAACTGCAACTTTCTCAAACTGATCTCAAGAATAAAGCTTAGTGCAAGTGAATGCAGTGCTTGTTCATGGACAGGTTGACTGCTTTGGACATGTACTGAGCTAACTGCTTCAAATACCTGGGAGGGGGAAGGTCTTTACAGTCTCTCAGACTGCTTGCCTGAACTCTGTGGGCCTAAGTGCTTTTATTGTTTGAAAACAGTAGACCTGTTGCAGCTTGAGCAGTTTCAGGGAATGTACATTTTGGCTATACCTGTAGTTGATGTGAAGCTGAGTGAGCCTTGGGTTCTGCCCTCTGCCTGCAAGCTTTTCTGAAATGTGAGTCCAAAGTGCTGTAACTGTACTTACACATGGTCACTGAGTGCTGCAAGAAACTACAGTGCATTCCAGTTTAGAAAGTGCTGTTGGAGCTAGGCACTCCACCTGTGAGAACAACTGAGGGCTTCCTTTAGCTAAGGCTAGGCTCTGGGCTGGACTCACTTCACGCTCCCTGCAGCCCTGGACCCAAGGGGAGGGAAGGGGCAGCCCCTGCGACCTCGAGCTGCCTTGTTGCGCAGTAGAGTGGTCTGCCTTGCTTGCAGGTGCCTCCTGGGGCCACCTCCTGCTGCCCCAGCTGCTGCTGGCCACTGGGGGGGAGGAGGGCGGGGGAACATGTCAGTCGGCTGTGTCGAGTCAGTGGCAGTGCATGCGCGGTGTGGGCTGTGGCGGCCCCTGCCATGGCGGACATGGTGCTGTTCTGGCCGGGCAGGGGGGATGGGTGGCGGTAATGTGTGCACGGCCTCTTCCGCAGAGCAGCAACTTGAATATCTGGGACGATACGGCCCTTATCAAGGCGTACGACAAGGCGGTGGCCTCCTTCAAGGTGAGGGGCAGGGGAGGCTGCACCAGAAACACACATGTAAATAAATCAGTAAACATAAATATCATGTTATATAGATATCAGTACGCGTGCCGTGTGGCAGCAACGCAGTGGCTTCCTTCGCTTTTCTGTTCTGCAGAACACCCTGAAGAATGGGGAGTGCTCTGAGCCCTAAGACAAGCAGGAGGAGTCGAGGACCGGGAGGAAGAACAACAAGAAGAACCGAAGCAGAAAGAGCAACTCCGTGCTATCGAAACAGGTCACCTGGGCTGTGAAATCAACTGTCGTGTAGCTGTAGAACCAAGCGTTGTGTAGTGTGTTTGTTCTGCCTGTGCTAAAATGTAGCTTCTTCATCTTGAAAGGGTGGGTGTGATGATGTTGAAGCTTTACCTTGTTTATAGGAACCTTATTTATAGAATCCTGTTTATAGGAAACTTATGTCGAGCGCTTTAGTTAAATACAAAGGAAAAATCTGCCAGGGTGAGAGGCATGTTCCTCAAGATGGGGGGCAAAAGTTATGTTTGCAAATTGGCTTCTTTTTCAGTGGTCATTGCTACAGGCTCTTACCTGCCCCCCTTGCTTCTGTTCCAGTGGAAAGTTGGTGGCAGTTGTAATGTGGTTTGGTCTGAGGATGGCAACGGCTACCTGGCCACCATCGCCTCCATTAATCACAAGAGGGGGATGTGTGTTGTTATTTACACTGGATATGGCAATAAGGAAGAGCAGAACCTGTCTGACCTACTTCCTGCAGCCATCGATGAAGCAGTATATGAGGTGGGAAATTCTCGGGAGGTGGGAGGGCAACTTTTTTGTTCCACTGAAAAGGAAAGAAAAAGCAGGAGAGTCAACTTTTTCAGTAATTCATCTACCCTGCTGTGGTGAGACAGAGGATCAGAAAGCATTTCTGCTGTGAAGGGGCACAAAGCAAAAGAGGGAATGGAAGTGGAAAGCATCCCCTTGAACTCAATATGGATGAAAGGGATGGGGCAGTGGTGAAGTCTATGAGTAAAAGATAAAATGGCTCAAATGATGAGCAGGGGGACACATTATCAGATTATTCCCAAATGGCCTAGAAAACTGACAGTAGAACTGGGAAGCTAGAGAGAAAGAAGGAAGAATGTGGACAGTGCTTTCCAAGTGCAGTTTTACACTGGAAGTATTTGTGGAGGCATAGTACCTTGTCAGTAGATAATAGATGCCTTGTTAATAGATAGTTAATCACAAGAATGCCTTAGTAGTGCACGGTTGATGGGCTGACCCGCAAGGACTAATGTCTTATCAGCAAAGAGCAAAGCAGGAAAAGGAGGAGGACTACAACCACATGTGGAATGTCTTGTTAGCAGATAAGGAATAACCAGCAAGGAGAAGAAGATAACCACAACTGCACGGCTGGCAAGATGCTGATTGGTTATAAGCTTTGCAACACTTGTGTTAAGAGAGTATAAAAGAAGTTGGTTTGAGAATAAAGTTGTCTCACTCTGCATCCCAGACTGAGTCCGTTCTTTCGCAAGGTGCAACAAGTATTTACTTTAGATTTCTATTTAATGCATATTATAAAAACATGTCTTGGTCTTCTAGAATGAAAATGAGACTCAGTATTCAACAGATGAAAGTGAAAAATCTTCCCAGTCACCTCGAAACAAAAACTGCACAAAAGCTAGATTCTCTCCTTGAAATTTACATTTTCCCATGCCCCATGCAGCTCCAGGCCTGGGAAAGGTAAGTTCAGCCTTCTTCTTTGCCTGTAAAATCTAATTTCAAGGAGGAGCTTTGTTCCCTGGACAGTGTTCATGCTGTTAATGACACACTCTTGATGCTTTAAAGCTGTGAGTTTACCAGCCAGTTTACAGGCCACCCCAGCACTGCATGTGACATTGTTGGCACACACAGGCCTGGAGTATATTCACTTGCCAGTGGTGAATATAAGTTTCTTCATGTGATAGTACAAGCACAGACCTCTCTTTAGAAAACAAAAATGCTTAAATAGTACAGTTTCAATTCCTTGACATTAAATGACATAAGTAGTGTAAATTATAGTTCTTAGAAAGAAACAGCTACTTCGTGTTCTTGTTGCCATTTCTTTATGTTGTTGTGATGTGTTGCCTTTAGTTAGGGTTTGTGAATTGCTTCAAATAATTCTCTTAAATAAATCCTCAATGCCTTAAATTTCCTTTTAACTTGAACTATTCAATCATTTCAATTTAGCCTGGATCAAAATTCAATGCATCTCTGCCATTTTTATCATGCTGGCCCCCACCCTTCCCAACAAGACCCCCAGTAAGTGACAGTAGAGTGAGGAGAAAATGGCAGGTGAGTAGTTGTGATCTCCAGTTTTCTAAGGGAATGTCCTGGTCCACTCTGGTTTTGGAGCATGTTTATTAGAGTGTATTTTCTAGGTATTGTCTATGTACTTAATGACGGTATCACAAGAACTGAATGTGTAAGGCATAGTGTGTAATCATCTTTTTGTGACAGCAAAGCGGTTGGTGGGAATATCAAGAAAAAAAATTACTTGTATGAAGAGAAGTAAATTCTCAAAAGGGTTGTGTGCCTTTCACTTGATTAACAGCATTTAATTGATACAGGCAAATATTTTTTCTAAATAAAACTTCATCTAAATCATTAAGCCACAGGAACCCTACTTCTTTCAAGCTTTGGCAATGAAATCTTTTTCAACTCTTATTTGATTGTCCTTTTAAATAATGCTTTGAGGATATGTTCTTGTTTTTCAGTTTTGTGTGTTGATCATTTAGAATTGTCTGAAACAGTCAACTCACATTTTCTTCTGTAATTTCGTAGCTGATTCCTCCTCCACCCCCTATGGGGCCAGATTCCCCTGAGGATGATGAAGCGTTGGGGAGCATGTTGATAGCCTGGTATATGCGCGGTTATCATACCAGGTATTACCTGGTACGTGCTACTTCTCTTGGGAAATACCTGTGTAAGCTTGCTCAGGTGTTGCTGCTGCTGCTGTTTTCAGCAAAAAGTTGATTGGGAATGTTGCTTTTTGGCCCTCTTGTTCTAATATGATAGCTAGGCATGCGAGTATAAGATAGATAGAAGGGTGTTTCATGCTGTGCAAGTTTTCTCATCTTTAAGTAGAAAATACCTGTCTGCTGAAATTGCACATTTATGCAGTGTTTAAGTCTTTGTTCCCCCAAAAGTGTCTTGTTAGGCCCCATTAGTAAAACAAGCAGTTCTGGTTTTGTGGACAGGTGGTGTAAATCTCAATATGATTATTATTCAGTAGGTTTCTATGGATTTTCTTTGAGCATTGATGCTCATAATGCTTAGAATCAGATTTGACAATAGTGAAAAGACTTCATTCTTTAATAATTGTTTCAGGTGATTGTGAAGGGCTGTTATGAGCTGTCAGTGTTAAAATCTATGACAGAGGATTGATTTCTCTTGTCTTTGTATATTTATGAAGAAAATTACAGAAGGAATTCAAGTCTTGACATTGGGGAGGTTGGGAATGGGACAGTGGCTGAAAACTGATCTGAAATTATTGTGTGGAGACACTGGTTATGATGAAGACATTTAGTTTACAGTTTGGTATCTGGCCTTTTTAATTCTCAAGTTCTGATAGCCCTAAAGAAATAAAAGCTATTCTTGCTTTATAAAGGACTGGAAAGAAAAATCCTAAAAAGTTTTTATTTTGTGGCTTAAGCTTTTATTTTCATGTTAGTAAAAACAGGATTTTATTAAATTGTGTCCTATAGGGTTTAAAGCAGAGTCAAATGGAAGCTGCCCTAGAGAGAGAATCCCATCCTAAATAACTGACTATCCATCATTGCCTTGAAGGACTGTAAGTATTGTAATTTTATCCTAAACAAAGATACACTGTCAGTTGAGAAATTTGTTTGAAATGACAGTGTCACGAGCCCGCGGAGAGCTTGATATCCATGCAAATGCTTTGGGGTCCAAGAATTCCCACTGCTCTTGCCTCAGATTCTGCCAGTATTGATCCTTTCTTGCTTAGCTGCAACGGCATAGTATTTTCATGGCCAAAGAGAAAGAAAATATTTTTATATTCTGTTGAATTATTTCCTGCTCCTTACTTTTTTGGCTGTGCTTGTATCTAAACTCTTCACTAAAGTGTTCAATTCCTTACAGCACAAAACTATATCACATAACTCTTCTGATTCTGACAAGCATCTCATTGCTGTGCAGATGAGTTATTGGTGTTAAAATCCACATATACTGACTTAAATTTTGTTTCTTTTTTAAAGCCAGGTACAAGTCTCTCCCACAGAGAGGAATATATCACTTCTGAATTAGTTGATAGTAAAGATTAGAATTTTATCAAGACAACCTCAATGTTTTGTTAATAGTGATATAATTAGTAGAATTTCTAGTCTCCAGTAATTTGTCTATGTGCATTGAAACAGGTTATTTCTTAACAACATCCAGTCAAACATATATTTAGTAAGCACTGCAGCAATTTAAAAAAAAATCAATAAAATGCTCTTTATTTCCTTGAAAAAATTTTAGGCCTAATGTGAATTAAATATATATATATATATATATATTTCTTTCAGTGTACAGTTTAACACCTTGTAATTATTTTATCTTGTATTCCTTAGAGTTTTGATTTTTTTTTTGTCTTCTGAGTTATAAGCCCCGTGCTTTGCACGAGAGCAAGCAAGCACAGTATTTTCTGCCAAGACATGGTTATGGCAGCAATGTCCATTACTGAGCTGCTGCTGACACTGACCTAGAAAACAGTGCACTGCCCGAGTGAGAGAGGCCTATTTTTATAGTTAGCTGAACTCAAAAAGGTTGGTTGGTTGGTTTGTTTCACATGCCTGTGAATAAAGTTTCCTTTCAAACTTTGAATTTTAGTGTGATTTTGTTTGGTTTTTAGTTTCCATAAAAGTCTGTCTGCTGTATGAGTTGCTGAAATAGGCCAGGAAGTTTTTGCGATATGGCCTTCTTAACTACTCCTGTAGTACCATACTAAAAC